GCCCCGCTCCGCGGCGGACAAAGCGGCCGGGCGAGGCTGGCGACTCAGCCTTAGCCCCGGTCCGGAATCGCCTCGGGCCCTCCCGCTGGCGCGCGCTCGCGCGGACACCGGGGCGACGCGGACGGCGGGAGCCGGACTCGATGCTCTGCTCGTGGTTTTGGCAGCGCTCCCCAACGGGCGCCTGCGTCTCTCCCATTGTTTTATCGAGTCGCGGGACTCGTCTGAGCCCCGAGATGCGAAGGGGCGGAAGCCGCGTGTCCTGACTTCGCGACTCCAGGCTAAGCCAGGTCCGCCTCGTCCTCCAAAGTGGGTCCAACCCACACGAGCCAGAGCGCGGCTGCGGAACCGGTGCCACGGGGGGCCGGGGGTCAGCGTGTTCCCGTCCACTCACAGTCATAACCGGGAGTCCGTAACAGCTGAGAACCCAATCTCTAAAGTGCGCACGTGTGTAATAAAGTAGGCTCTGCATAGCTCTTCCGAAAGAGTCCCTGGCAGATATTGCAAGACACAACGCGGATTGTACAGTATAAAAATCAAAATAGGCTCGGTAACTTCCAATGTGTGCCTAATTTTTTTCTTTGTGTGTGTGTGCCTAATTTTCTAAAACAGACTAAAGGCCAGATTTTCCTCTCCTGTTCCTCTCCTTCCCATACATAATACCCTTATGTGAATTCAGCTGATCCTAACTCTCAAAATGCCCAGGAATTAGAAATTCACAAATTGTCCACAGAAACCAGCTCCAGGTAACTGGGACCAGCAGAGTCCTGCCTGGCCAGGCTGCTGGCCTTGGAACACCTGCCACTGCAGCAGTTCTGGGCCGGGGGAGGAGGAGGATGGAGGCAAAGAGCTCTATCTACACTGGTGATCTCGCCATGACACACAGCCTGCCCTGGGCGTACAAAGGGGAGCGACTGTCCTGATGCTCTCTCCCTAGTAAGGCAGCTTAAGAGTTCTTGGTGATTAAGGGAAAAGAGATCGAGCGCCCCGAGTCGGCCCTGGAGCCTGGAGTAACTCTCTCTGCTCTGGTAGCCAGGCCCCAGTAAGTTTGTTCTCCAAGAAGGACACAAAGGAGGAGTATCTGGATAATCTCTCCTAGCCGAGTGGCACACTGTGACAGGTCCCTCTATGTACAATGGCTTTTATCTTGTCATCAAGGGCGTCCTTACCCATGGTTTAGCACATGTACCTACATGTTTTTTACATTTGATTTTCTCTCACTCTCTACTTTCTCAAAGATAAGATAAATGGTCTTATTTCTGTAAAATGCACTGTATTCCAGCTGGTTTGTCTAGTGGGTAGAGCACACCATGAGGTCGTAATTCACACCCTGCTCTGCCACCAACTTCAGTAAAGTGGAAGTGTTACAGGTCAGTTTTTAAGAAGGTATTAACTATGTGGTTACTAAGGCCCGAATTTTAATAAGACAGTGAAAAAAACCTTTCATTAGCTGTCCAGGAGGCTTGGAAATTAATGCGTTTAACACCTCAACACAAGCATAGGCATCGTGGGGAAAATATTGCTAATAAGCACCAAGCTCACCTGACATTGCTCAGCCCTATCCTGTTAATTAATTATTGTATCAGCAATGAACTGTTTACTTTTGTCTTCAGAGTAATCATTCCTGAAGTTGAAAGTATATAAAAGGCAAAATTATTAGTTGTTTCTACATGATAAAAACAGAATTACTTTGAAAAACGGAGAAATACTTGTAATGATAAAAATGCTTTTTAAACAACTTTTTAACATTCATTTTCATTTGTCTTTGACTTTTGGGGCCAGGTTGCTGCCTTGTCCATCACAGACTGCCAATCTCAAGTAAAAAGAACAATTTTTAAAAACTAATGCGCAGTTCTTACTTAAACTTTGCTCTGCATTTCTGCAAGTTGGATAAAAGTGGAATTTGTGTGAGAGTTTTCTTGTCCTGCTCCCTGTGCTTCTTCTAGGCCCAGCTGAAGCTCTGTGTCAAGGTGACTTTCCAGAACAGGAAATCTTGGCCTTTCTCCAGCTCCCATGGTTTGGTGTTAAGACACTAGATTTCTTTTTATAAGTATCAGGGAAAGATGCATTTTCTCAGGCCTTCAGGAAGAGAGGAGGCGGGAGGAAGGAAGGAAACAGAAGAAGGAAGTACAGAGGGAGGGAGGGAGGAGCAAAGGAAGGGAGGGAGGGTTAGGAGGAGGGAAGCAAGGGAAGAAATGGAGACAAAGTAACCCCAGAGTGGCGCTCAGTCAGCTGCCCCTATACAGGCTGTTCTTCCTACACTGACAGGAGCTGCTGGAGCCGCTTCTGGAACACAGCAGGACACCAGCTCTGTCCCATGGTCACTAGTGGTCATCACCCATAGCTCCAACTTTGTCAGCATAGACTTGGGCATCCTGCTAGAACCATGACTGTACACTGAGGACAATAAACCCTGTTTCTTGTCCACCATGATGACTACTCCCTCCTTTTTATGGTGTTCCAGAATAATAGAGCTGAAAGTCTTCTCCAGGACAAATTCTGTAGCTACTCAGCCAAGGTACCATATCAATAGTTTGTTCCATACATTGAATTTCATTAGAGGACTAAGATGTATAAATAGTGAGTGTTGAATGTATGAAACCAGCTGTCATGGCTTGTATCTAGATGATCCCCAAAGCTTTGTGTGCTCATAGGTGGGGCTCTTGTGAGGTGACTGGATCATGGGTGTGTGATACTAGATTAGTCCGCTGTATAAGTGGGTGTGTGATGCTGAGGGGGGTGAAGCCTAGTGGGAGGAGGTGAGTCACTGTGGGTGTGGCCTGGATAATATATATCCTTCCTACCTTGAGCACTCACATATTCCTGCCTGCCATGCCATGGACTGTTTCTCCTCTGTGATGGCCCTCTGCCATCCTCCCCTCCCTTGGGGCCAGCTGACTGTGGACTGAAACCTCTATAAAGTGTGAGCTAAAATAAACCTCTCCTCCTTCAACTTGAAGGTGTTGGGTATTTTGTTCCAGCAATGAGAAAGAAACTAAGACACCAACAGAGCTAATTTTCCATATCTTTCTTAGGATGCAGAACACAATGGGGGCAGTCATATTAGAGAAGTGTGGAAGAGCTCACCACAGTGTCTGGCAGAATATGTGCTGAGGAAATGTTTGCACTCTGAATTTAGAGAGAGAGGTCAGGTTGGACCAGGAAAATGCCATAGCAAACCACATGTTCAAACCCAGATTAAGTGCAAGATTTAAGCTCTGCATTGATTCCAAGTGCCCTTCGCACTCATGTGCTTTCTGGTTCCATGGTGCAGAAGAATTTATTTCTGTTCTAATTTCACTTCTGTGTAACTCCTTGTAACAAAAGTGCTTGTGTTCCTGTCTGAGTCCTTCCTTTGGTAAGAGAAGTTTTAGCGTGATGACACAATCCAGTTCATACACAAGGCAGCTAGTGTATTCCTTAACTTTTATTTTGAAATTACAGATTTACAGGAAGTTGCAAAAAAATGTACCCGGACATCCTGCACCCCCTTTACCAGGCTCCCAGTTGTGATATGGTATTTGGGAAACATTCTTAAGAAGCATGTGCCAGGCAATATGTCAAGTGTGCTGATGTACTTTCTGATTTAATTATTAAAACAGCCCTGTGAAGTAGATATTGATATTTCCCTTTTTAAAATAAAGGAAACCAAAGCTCAGAAAGATCAAGTGTTTTTTTTTTTGGTACCGGGGATTGAATTTAGGTCCTTGCGCTTGCGCAGCAGGCGGCAAAACGACTGAGCTAAATCCCCGGCCCGAGATCAGGTATTTTTACAAAGGTCTGTGTTCTGAATGCTGGTAGTACAGTTTGCATATCATTCTGTGTACAGCTTTTCCGTCAAAATTGTCCTGAAGCCAGCTTCTCTGGTGTTAAGGGGGGTTCTGTCTTTCAACATGGCTGTTTTGAGGTCATCTTTAATCCCACCCCTACGCTGTTACTATTGAAAAACTTTAAGAGGCACCCCTGTACTCTGTTCTTGCCACTAACCTTAAGATATTAACCACTTCAGAACCACACCAGCAACTTTCTCACTAGCCTTTTAAAATTTATTCAGGCCAAGGATGCAAAAATCATCTTTCTTGTGTACTATTTTGCACATAACAATTCTGTGAAGATCCCGAGCATGACCCTTAACAGCAGCCTCCACCAAATTCCTCTGGCTTCTTGGCCACGGCTCACCGCCATTGGTCTTCTACTGTCGGCAGAGTTGTCTGGAGAGCCAATCACTTCTCCTGCAAACCGGCCCTTGGATTTTTTGGAAGCTTTTTTGTCTTTGTAATACTTAATCTTTTCTGGGTTTTGTTTTTTTTTTTCCCAATTTAAAAAATACAAATCCTTGGAAAATCCAGAAAAGTGTAAAGAAAAAAATTAAATCACTCCAAGTCCCCAAATTCTCAGGGATTATACTAAAAAATTATTATATCTTTACCTA